GGGTTATTTCTTTTTTCAACATCTGGCCGTTGACTAAGTACACTCACAGACGTGTTGTGGAGTTCTCATTTAGCCTCATCGGTATTAAGTGTCTTCCTTAATGCCTATCTATAGGTTGTCATTGTGACGACATCGCCTACGGTGTCGGCGAAGCGTCTGCGAATGGGCCGAGTCAGCGGTCAGATGGTGCAATAAAATATGGCACAGATGGCAGGTGACGCATCACCGAGTGTGTTCTTTGACGTAGCATGACTGTTGGCAAAGTGAGCCAAGACCAAGAGAAGAAGAGACTGCGACCAAACCAAGGATAGGATAGAAATTGTTTGACCTTGTTTTCACAACTCGTCAAAGAGACAAGTCACTGACGAGTCGAATTGCAAGACTCACTGACGATGCCAACTACGATGCCGGCGAAACGTCTGGGAATGTACCACGTCCACGGTCCTTCTTTGAAAATGATCATGCATACGATGGACTCCGGACTAGGTGCGTTCCTCTAAGTCTTCCTACCAACATGACCAAGTTGCGAAAACAAGGTCAAACCACTTGTATACAACGAAAGGAGACTGCGACCATACAAAAGGTCACGCCATCTTGGTCTTCATACCTTCATAGGTGGGATGCTTGCACTTGTTCCACAATTCCCTAAAAGCCTCAGATATACTTGAAAGTAGCAATAGAAGACTCTTATTTCCATATGATTCGCATTTGAGACTATCAGTAGTTCTAAGACTAAAGGAAATTAAGTGGTATCATTTCACTGTGGAAGCAACCCAACTATTGATCCCCAAAGGGCTCGAATCTCTGGAGCCACGAGGTCTTTAAGGCGCCCAGCCCGAACTCCAGCTGCAGAAAGAGTCTCATCCCCTCCAGTGCTTGATCCGCCGATAAGAAGATGTTCCACTTCTGTCTGAGTTCTTTCGATATCGTCATCCGCATAGCCGGCTGAGTTCACCACAAACAAACGGATTGATTGATAGACTATTCATATGCATTTGTTCCATATTTTGTGTACGTATAGCCCGGACGAGTGGCCACGTTGGTGCCTTCGCGGCAGCCGAACTCGAGGGTCTGGGGCGTGGCTTTCGAGATCAACGGGCGAGAGGAGATTGACGCAGCTCTGGAGCATTTGGCTGAGCGTGAAATGATCACCGGTGGCTATCGCTTCGATCAGGCGCGCTTCCATTCGCTCCGATTGCGCAAGTCGGCTGGTGACATCTTCCCTGTCAGGCCTGAAGCATCGGGGACTGGTGGTGTTGCGTCCGCTCCGCCGGCAGAAGTACCAATGGAGATGTTTGTCCAGGTCTACATTGCCGAGCCTGGCAACAGGCAATACGTTGGCGATGCTCCACTCGACTTGCAGGTAATTGGACCACTATTGCGCTTACTGCAGAAAAAGCCATTTCACACACATCATACAGCGCTGCGACGAGTGTGGAGAAACCGAGTTTTTCGTTCCGGCCGTTCTCAGACTCCCTGTTTCTATAAAGACATGTCGATTTAGCCTCCTTCCTTGTCCGGCAAGGCAACGTCTTCTTCGACCGAAAAGAAAAGCCTTCTCTGTCAAGTGTCACTCTTCCCTGTCTGGTCGGCGAAGAGATAGTCGGTGAGGTCTTCATTTTTG